GGCTGGATTGAGAGAAGGAAAAGGCGGGTGTACCGGCTGCGCTGACAGCTGGAGCTGATGAAATGCCGCTGAGCGGTTGCTCGGCTTTGTGCAGTTCGCACGTTTCATCGTTAAAGGTTCCTAGGGGTGGCTTAGGTTAGCTCGCTGCGGGGGTGTTCTTACTCCTCCAGGGTTGTTTATCCAGGAGAAAAAGCTTAGAAAGATTTATTTCTCAGATCAGTTGCCAAAATCTGTGCAGGCTGGTGTGTTTTGTGCAAAGATGGAAAAACACTGTATTTTGATCTTGTGTTGTCTGTAAATTAGAGGCTGACGCTGTTGGAATAAAGGGGGACTGTTACAGAGGATCAGGAGCAGAATAATCCAAATAAACTTTTCTGTATTTTGTAAACGGGTGATCTTTGCTTTGTTCTGCAACAACCAGTTCATGGAAGAGCAGTGTACAGTGGGAAGGATATGGTACTTGTACCAGAGCTAGGTTTTCTTCCATGTTCTGGCCAGTATTTAATACTTAGATGTAATTTTTTTTGGCTGTTGTATTAGGACTGAAGTAGTTCTAGATAGATATGCTGAGTATTTGACATCTCGCAAACTCACAGCCTCTTCTTTCACATCAGCATTGGCAGGCAAGTTTGAAGTTTTTGTCCTGAATATTTTTTTTTTTCGCCCAACTGCTTTTAACTGACTTATTAACTGACTTGCGAACACTGGTTAGGAACAAAAAGCCACAAGGTTGTTTCGGCTATAACAGCAAATTCTAGCTACACGGTCAGTTGTCTTTTATCTTTCCCTCTGGTCTAAAGCAACTATTACCTATGTTTATTTTTGGTTTTTTTCCCTTGTATTCTTTTTTTCTTGTATGTTTGTAATGCTCAGTTACCCTTTAGTATATCCATTGGTGTTTACGGTGTCATTTGCTCTAGTATTTAGTTTTGGTGTGCATTTGATTCACAAAGTGTCATTTGCTAGCCTTCCGCCACACCTTTTCATATTCTCCAACTGGTTTTCAGCAGATGGTTGCTGAAGTTACTGGCTTACTTGCCAGATGGTTTCAGTGCCTTTCTTGTTAACTACTGGCTTACTGCTTGCTGGGGTTTTAGAGCGGCAAATATGAAAGTCAGTGCACAGAATTATGAGAAATGCCATTCTCTTCAATGGCAGGGAATTCATGAAGCAATTTTTGTGAGCATACTCTCCAAGGAGAAGTTTATTTGCCATGATGGCTTAGCATTACTTGTATTGGTCCAATATCAGATTGTCTTTACCAGCGAAATAATCTTACTGTCTGGTGGTGTAATGTTGAACATAATGTGTGTGTATTTCTTCAGTTGTTGCATAGCCTGGAGTGAAAGTCTTAGAAAAATGAAATGACAGTACAGAAAATAGACTTCTCTCACTCAAGGGGCTGCACTTGTTTGGATTGTCTTTTGAAGCCTGAACCTGAAATATGGTATATGAGGATCGTTTATGAAAAAAAGATCCTCAGTGCTATCTCTTGTAGATAGCTGGCATACGTCTCGGATAATCTTTGTTTTCTGGGTGTGCTGGTAGTTTACAGAACAATGAGTGTTGAGCGATTCGGGTATTTTCCGTAACTGTGTGGTGGGAGGGACAGGGAACTGTATTAAAAACAAAACTGTAAAAGTGCCTTATGAATTTTGTAATCTTGCAAGTTAGATTGCTACCAAATTCTGCAGATTTGGCTGCTTCTGGAACAGCATAATGTAGCTTATCAAGGTAATTGTGATTTTTTTAATCACTCAGATTTCCATCTCCCCACCCCTCCACCCCCCCAAAAAAGTGCTTCATTATTCATAGATGCTCCAAGATTTACCTGTAAGAAAGTCTGAGTTAAATAATTACGTACAAAATTTTTAACAAGCATTTCAAAATCCTGCAAGATTCTAAGTTTCACTTGCTTGGAATTGTGCTTAAAATCTGTGAGGCTTATGTATGAATTGTTGCAATGATTTTGGAGTTCATTTTGAGCATGTGTAGAGAGCAATGAAACACCAAAACCTTCTTTAGTGTAGCATGAGTTTAGCTTTCTGTAAAAATACAAGCTTTCAGTTGGTAATTTATTATTATTATTTTTTTTAGGGGGTGACCTTATGCATCTGCTGAAACAGTTTTGCTTGAAGTACTACAAGCTGCAGCCATAATTAGAAAGTAGGTCATAGCCAACTTGTCACAACATTTGACCATAAGGATTCCTCTTTACTTCTAGAGGAGTGTTTAAAAGGAAGAGGGGGGGGAAAAAAAAAAGAAAAAGAAAAAAGAGGGAGAAGAAGAAATATAATTTTTTTATTTGTTTCGTTAGTTTAGGAGCGGTTATCATGTAGCAAAATTGAAACAATCCTTTTTTTGTCCCTAGTGTGGAAAAAGTAATTTTAAGTTTTGCCCTGGTTTTAATAAGTTAAATGTTCATTTCTAATGACTTTTCCATGTGTAATCTATAAGCTGTTTGGGTTTTTTTTAAATAAAAGGTGATAACATGACTTTGCATAAGGAGAGTAAAGCATATATATGTATATGGAGTGCTGAAAAGTTAATCTCTTCAATAGCTTTAGAACTTTGAAGATTGATCTGACAGTCTCTATAGGTCCTGTGGCCTGTTAGCTGAACTGTCTTCTCTAGTACCTATCAAACATAAATGGTTTTTAAGTCTGTTTTAGAAAATAATGAAATGATAGAGCTTAAAGGAGAATACAAAAGCTGTAAGCATTTTAATAGGTTACTATTTTATTTCAATTGAAGCTGTTTTGTGTGGGGGTGAAGTTGATGCATCTTCCATTTCTGTCCCTAATGACCTCAGTCTCCTGTAGTTGCTCTGGGATTTAAGGGCTCAAACTCTGGCACAGAATTAGGTCTTCTGTTATTGAGTCCCTGGTCAGCAAGTAGCAGAAAGTTTAGATCTTCCTTGAAGTGCCATTGCTTTTGGGATATTTGTAATTACATTTAGTAAGCTTGCTCTGCATTGTCTTAGTTTTCTATAGGCTTACGGTTCAGTTCTTGCAACTAATCTGACTACAGCTTGTGTTTGTAAAGTTGAGCAAAATCTGGTTAGCACCTGACACTATAAACCAGAATCATGCTTTTGTTAACAACGTAGATAGTCCTGAAACAATTTCCTGTTACAATTTTATTAAATTAGATTCTTAATGGTATTGGCTCCTCTTCACCAAGATGTTGCACAGAGGGGTAGCAGTGAAATTACTGTAAGTGTTTCATGGCACATGTCCCCATTATCCTTGCGATGTAGTGCATGAATTAACGTGCCCTCTCACCTGTGGTTTCCTAGCAATGAATCAATCACCTGGAAACAGTTCTTCAGCAGCACCTATACCCTGCAAGGTACACAGCTGTGTATAAGGAGAGGTTGACCAGGACTCTGCAGGGAAGTGCACTGCACAACAAGTTGCCTGGGGAGACATACCCTAACTGACTTCCCAAGAAAAGTACGATGGAGATGAAATATGATATTATTAAAATAATTCAGGCTTTGGCTGGTGTGTTGCTTTTCAGTATAGTAGAAGTAGGCGTTGGTTGCAAATACAGAACAATCTTTTGTACAGGCATAGAAGTGTCTGAGGCCCTGGATTTATTCCTGATACCAGTCAGCACTTGCAACTGGAAACTCTGGTTTTTAAAATAGTTCAATGAAATGGATATTGTAGTGAACCACCAGTATACATTTGTATGTACTTTTGGATGATAGCCAAACCTCTTTCACTAGGCAAAAGTGTATTCAGATCACTTAATAATGTATTGGCTTTTTTATAGAGGACAGTGTTAAGATAGTTAAAGAACCAGGGAGAACACCAATTCCCTCTATAAAATTACAGACTGTGAATATTTTTTTTTCTAGTTGGGAAGTATTGTCTTGAGTTCTGGTTGACATTTTTCTCTGAGGTTCAACCTTCTACCTGTGCCAAACTGTCAAAATAAAATGTATTGTTTTAACATTGATGTTGTACAAGATGCTATGGTAGTAAAGAGTTCAGTGCCATGATGAGCAGCAGTGTTTTCAGAAGTTGCCTGGAATAATGGTTTTTAATAACGGTATTAAAGGTATAGCAGAACACACTGAATGTCTGTAAATGTCAAGTCCAGCATCCTGATAAGTGCTTTCTTCTCACTTGAGGGTGGTTGTCTTTTTTCCAGTTCTGTAGAAGATGTTTACATGCTTTTGCCTCTTCCTGCTCTGGTAGCAATGCAGAGCACAGGTTAAAAAGTAAACGTGTCTAATACATGAAGATTTAATGTTTATTTTATACTTAATATATTTCAAAAGCTATTTAAAATTATCAGGCTTGTTTTCCTTCTGCTGTGAATTGAAGACTCTTCTGTAGTGTAATTGTGGACTTATTTTTCCAGATCAAAGTATTTCAGAACATGTTCAACAGGAGAACATTTCACTATAGAGGTGAGTGCTTACATTTCTAGTGATTTAAAAAAAAGAAAGTGGAAAAAGCTGAATTCTAACAATGCCTTTAACACTTTTTTGCAGTTTATGTACACTGTAGTATTCCAGGTTATTCCAGACCAAATTGATGCTGCACTGGGTGGCAAGATGGCAGTTCTTACAGCACCTCAGAACATTAATAAAACATCTCACCTTAATCTGTTATTTGGAAAGAAGAGAAGTATCTTGTCATCTGATACTCAGTACCAGAGCATTCTAAAGTCTGCCTATTGCATCTTTCATCGCTTCTGTGTTGGAAGTGATTGTTTTATTTCTGTTTGTATAAGTGCAGGATATTTAGATCTTGATAGCAGGATTATGAATCTGATTCTACAAAATACTAGGATCTGATGAGGTTGCTTTATAGTTGGTTGCACTGTAGTCCACTTTGTTTTCTACAGAGCTCCTTTCTTGGCCACTGGATATCGCCCCTTTTTGCCAAGGGTACTGTAGGGTTCATTTGTATAAGCTGAGATTCTCAGAATAACCTGGTTTACTTTCTCTGAGTGTTCCTTATGGTCTAAAAGTCCTAGACCTCTTAGATGCCCCCGTTACTGGGAATAACATTAATAACTGTGATCATTGCTTGGCTTTTGAGAAGAGGGGGCAGGGGAAAGGGGGCACGGCAGATACAGTGGGGGAAATCTGGCTTAGTGTACAACTTCCAGTTGTGAGAGAGTGTTCCTGCTGCAGAAATATGATAGGGAAAACAAGGGTCTGTCCTTGCTTATAGCAGTTGGCATACAGGTCAGTAAGGAGTCTTGCTCTAGGTACTGACCTCCATGCTTATTGACTACATTTAAGATCACTGTACTGAAAATAGTGCAGAGAATTGCCATTTGCTTTGTTTCATTTTTATGTGGTGGTTGAACTTCTGCTGGATGAATTTGTGCAGCTTAGAATGCTCTCTGTATTCTTGCCTGGCTTGGGCTGGTTTTGTCTTCCTGTCATTAAGCATTACATTGCCTTTATTAACCTTTAGTTTCTTATGTGCAAAGCTGGTGATGGAGAGTGGTTGTTGCTTGTTTGTTCTTAGAATTTTGGGTAGAAGGCAACCTCATGTTTTCTGTAAATTAAATACATTTTAAAATACTTTTTAATAAGCATCACAGTTGCCATGCGAGGTAGAGGTTATGTGCATTATACCCCTTACATCTTCTGCATTTTTGCATTGAGTGGCTGCTTTGGTGTATGTAAGAGCCATACCATTCCTTCCTCTGCTTGTATTGTAATGCTTCTGATATACTGAATTATTAGCAATCTTATAAACTAATGAGATTTCATTTTTATCAGTGCCCTCACATAAGTTGTAGTGAAAAACATGAATGTTTTATAATTTTGACTCTTCTCCTTTTAGGAGAAAGTAGTGTTTAAGAAAAGAAACATTGGTAAGAAGATAATTCCTACTCTAATACTTTCTTTGAAAGTAGGGGCTTTCATAAATAGTCTTACAGTTCCATTGCAGTAGTGTTTTTATAAGACAGATTAAATATGTAATCATATTTGCTATATGTGTTTAGTGACCTGTTATATTGAATAGTAAAGATTGTTTACTTTTTCTCTGCAGTTTGAGAACCTAGTGGAAAGTGATGAGGTAGGTACCTGTATCATAGTGTGAAACCTGCTGGTACAATGCACTCTCTTAAAAATGGTTCCAAGATCCCTATCTCCACTTCATGCTATGTTGTAGACTTAAATTGCAGGGGTTTTTTTACTTAGTTTTGCCTGCTCTGGGAGTGGATATTTAACACTTTGGGAGAGAGGAAAACCTAAGAGAGAGAAAACTGTTTGGGGGGAGTATGAAACGTAACCCTTTCAGGAAGAGAGCACTATGGACGTTAGGAAAGCAAAAAGAAAAGAAGGAAGGGGGGAGAGACTTGAAGAAGAATTTGCTCCCGGTATGACTCTTGCATAAGATTCAGCAAACGCTCCCTATCTGAGAATATAAATGGACAGGGGTTGCTTTGCTAAAGAAAGTTTTGGGAGTACTGTGTCTTTATAATTTTGGGTAAATTGGGTGAGCAGTATTTCAGAAAAATAGAAGCTGGCCTTAAAACTTCACTCTTAATACAGCTTGATAAGGGGCGGGGCGGGAAGTCATGTTTTCAATACCCTGCCCTGTATTTAAAAACATGAAGACTAATATTTTGATTCCTGAGATACACCACTGGAGTATTTATTTTCAGTTGGAAGCACTTATTTGGATGGCATAACAAGATTTTTTTTTAAATTCCAAATTAAACCAGGGGATTGCCTCCACCCCCACCAACTGTAAAACTAATATATGGTAGAAACTATGTTTTCATATTGGGTTTTTTCCCCATCTTAAAATTGATTGATTCTCAAAAACACAAACTTTTTTCTTTTTACCAGGGTGAAAGCCCAGGAAGCAGTCACAGGTAAGACTTTGAGATTCAGGACCTCTCCTCCCCTCTGCTCTCCCCTTGTGACTATTAAATTTTTCAGAGTTCCTGTCAAAACCCTTTCTGTCTTTTTTAGCTGTCAGATACGTGGAAAGAATACATGTTAAAACTAACAATGCTTAACCATGTCAAAACAGTTCAGATGATAAACGCATCATGCAAAAACTAAACAAGACAGTTAAAACAGTATGTTGCAAAGAGGATCTTGAATCTTCTTGTTCCCAGGGTCTGCAGTTACAAAGTTTAAAGTTACACAGATGTTAGTGCTACAACTTCAGTGAATTTTTTGTGAGCATGTTAACATTTATGGAAGCAGTAAAAACTTTGAGGCTTGCTCTATAGGAAACATACGAAAGCATTGAAGTGTATGCTTTGGTTGTTTAATTCTAGACATTTTGTTTTATTTAAGTTTGATAGTTCCCAGAATGTTGTTGCTTGCAATGGTCCCAAAGAAGCGATATAGCAAACACTATAATTATTATAATGCTTTTGCAGTCTTGTTTGTTAGATACATAAAAGGGGACATGAAGTAGGCAACAGATGAAAGAGGAACAATTTACAATTAGGGGACCAAAACAAGTAAGAAAAAAAGTGAGATTTATACAGCAATTATATTAACAATTCTATTCCAGTAGTTCTGTTAGCAAAAAATATTTTGAAAATATGTTTTATATAAAGATACAAAAAATACTTTGTAAGAGTAGAGAAGAGACAACGTTGTCTTGAGTGAATTGTAACTTTGGAGCTCTGTTCTCAGGAGGAGCTGGCCAGAAGCACAGCTTGTTGCATTCGTATTGAAGGACCAGTCAATAAAGACTATACGGATATGTTTAAGTTCCTTTCGCAACTTAGGGTTGTCACAGGTAAATAATAGATGGAGTCTCTTTGTGTTTCTCCCATGCTTTTAGACCTCTGACTGAGGAAGAAATTGCTGACTTGAAAGACAGACATTATGACTCCATTGCTGAAAAGCAGCGAGTTGTTGATATGAAACTTCAGTCGGAGGTGAGCAGTTATGATGACTAGCATGGTGTGGATAGTTTTTCTTTTAAAGTAGTTAACAGCCATGAACACAAGAAGATTGCATGCTCATGAACAAAACAATTGGGTTTTGTTCATGGTATTTTCTAGTGTACAAGATGCACAAAGAGATTGCTGTGCAACTGACTTTGCATCAGAGGCATCAGAGATTGCTTCTTTTTAATGGCCTCTTAAGCTGAAAAATTGAATGAATAGGCTGGCTCTCTTACTGAGAGCTGTTAAATTTGAACTTGATTTTTTTATGAAAGGCAAAATGGGGAGTATACTCGACTCGACTTTTCTTGTGCTCGGTTTTTTCCAGAGCTTTTCTTAAGGAAGAAAACATAATTTGTAATTTTGTCTTAGTGTGTTGCAGCAATTAATGGAATATGATGTAGAATACAATGTAGAAATTGGGAATTATTTTTAATAAAGTAGAAATGAAATATGCAGCTGAAAAGATTTGAGTCTTTCACTGCGCAGTTCATAATAAAATACAACATGCATTTATAGCAATTCACTAGTAATGATGTTTATTCAATCGGGTAATATCTAGTTATCTATATTTCTTGGGATGTTTGATGGGGGGAAGCTGTAAGAACATTTTTCTTCATTAACTAAATTGAATTATAGTCAATTTTATTTTATTTTTATTTTCTAGTTCTTTTGTTTTATTGAGCTTATAGCTTTATTCATAGGAAGATAGATAGGTTCTGCTTTTGTTAACCATTACTATTTTGTTCATATACAGTTAGCCTTACAAGAGGAGAAGTTAAGAATAGAAGAGGAGGCTTTATATGCTGCACAACGTGAAGCAGCCAGGGCAGCAAAGCAGAAAAAGCTCTTGGAGGTGAGGGGAAAAAGACCCCAATATATATCAGAGCTTCTGTTCTGTTTCTATGTATGCAGACTTTCCTAATATCCTTTACATCTCAGGAAAGGTAATGAGGAAATTGATCTGGCTTGTAAATTCCAGTAGAGAAAGAAATACAGTACAACTGACCGGACCAGCTGAAAATGATCAGAATTGTTTGAAACAGTTTATGATGCTGAGTATAGATTTTGAATGAGATACATTATTTTAATCTATAATTAGCTTAACAGACTTGCATTATATAGAAATTACTGAAGTTTAAAGTGGTCTTTGATGGCTTTCTAGTACAAAAAACCTGGAATTAAGCACACATTATGATATCATTTAGACTTGTAAAAGTACTTTAGATATTTGTGTGCTTAATTGTTCCTTATCTTTGTGGTTTGTGTTAAAATGAAGATATGTGTTTCCAAGTCATCTGAATTTACTGTTGCCTGGTGCTTGGAGCAGGATGTTGAACTAGATGACCACCTGAGGTCCCTTCCAACCTGAATAGTTCTATCATTTTGGGATTTGTATGTGTAGTAGTCAAAGTCCAGTAATGCCTTACCAGTAGTTTTAATTTATTTAATTTATCTGTGCGTACTTTCAGATGTCTAGTGTCTGTGGTTCTGGAGCTTTGTCTTGCAAAACAAAAGCCATGTTAAGTTTTTCTCGTTTTTTGAAAACAAGACGCTGTTCTGTATCCTCCTAGTATTTATTACTGATGGTTTCCATGTCACAGTTGAAAGAGTTACATATGATCAGTGCATTTAATATTTTTGCCATCTTAATAAACTGTTAAAGTACATGTTCTCGCACAAATTTCAGGTTGCCAGAAATACGTGTGTTAAAAGAAACGTTCACTTTTTGCTGCCTGTTCATCTGTAACGTGTGTGGCTGCAGTTCTGGTGTGTTCAAGGAAACAGTCCACTAGACATGTGATATGTGTTCAATTAGAAGTAATTTTTCAAAGTTCAGATTCAGACTATCTGAAAAAGTCTGAAATCTACAATAGGTATAGGGGAGTTCTTTAACCCTAGTGTATTCTTTACGTTCAAAAGAGAGTGAACTGAGAATTGTTATTTCCAAACTGATAGCGATGACTGAGTTTTCATCTAATGTGTATATTGCTAAGTATAGGTCTCATTTCACGTTTCTTGTTCTATCCTGTTGGCATTTGATATGGGAGGGTTAATTCTTTCTGACTTTTTCTGCTTGCCTTTTTTTCCCTTTTAACACTTCGTCTATATAAAGTCAGCAAAAGTAGATTGTTTTATGGCTTTAACTGGTCTTTGTAGAACTTCTGTGCAAGAAATATTATTTTTTTCTTGTCTTTCAGTATTTTTAATATGCACCTCTTTTAGTCAGGACCTAAGATAGAATGCATTATAGGGATTTTCATTTCCTCCTCTTGTAAAATTAGTACTACTTATCTCCTTTACAAACAATCCCCCCTAAAACCCATAAGGATTATAAGGATTTCTAAGGAAGCTTTTTTTTTTATAGATATGCAACAAGCATTTAACCTTTCTAAATAAACTAGAAACCGTTTTTGAATACTTAACTTGTCTCTTTGCTGGGCAGAAGTCTTTTAAGTGAGAAAATGGCTTTTTCATTGGAAGTATGGCATCCCTTTAAAGCTAATTTGGCTTGCTGATGTTGCCCTACTAAATGTCAGGGTTTGTAACAGCAGAGAATTTTCATATATGTGTATCCTGGAACTTACAGTGCTAGATATTTGGATGTGACCCAGCCGAACGGGTAGACAATTTAAATCTGTTATTATGTGGGTGTATGTATTTTAAAAGAAAATCGTTGCATGTATCATTAATTGATTTTTCCAGACTTGCTAACTATGTTGGTGCCAAATTCCTGTCTCCCTGTGTACTTAAGTCTTCTCCCCTATAACCACCATTAGATGACATTTCTATTTCTGCACTTCCCATTTCTTTACTGGTTTCAATCTGATTATTCTGAATCTTATTTAAATACCTAAATGTGCCAAGAAACAAAGCCATCATCATCTTGGGAGTGAAAATACTAGCTGATCCAATGCAGTTATTTCACAAGACTATTTATCCAGGGAAGAGCAATTTTTAGATAAAGTTGACATTTAAAAATTCTGTTTTATTTACCCCTGCTTTTCTTTTGCAGGGACAGATCCATTAAGGCTGAGAATAGATTTTTCAGAAAATACAGTAGCTAGATATATCAGACTTGTCTCTACAACTAGCACGTTCATTTTTATCTCAGTCTTTGTTAAAATCAGTTAATGATTACTGATTTACTAAACTGGTTTACATTTAATCACATTGATGTGCCCGGGTTTTAAACTCTCATTTTTTCAAGGCAGAGAAGAGAAACTTGAAACAACTTAAGTTGTTTAAACCCTAAAACTACTTCCATGACATCTATTGTTCCTCTTATAACTACAAAATAAATGCATGTATGACTTGTGCCTTGCGTTTTTCCTTCTGTTTATGCCTACTGATAACCATGAAAGCTTTCTATCTTAAGAGTGTAGAGGAATTAATACTTTTGGCCCAGCAAGGCAGCAAAGCTTTTATTAATATACATGGAGCACTTTGTGCTGATACAGGCAACCAGAAGAGATGGCAGTACTGCTTTGTAAAGGGTTGAAAGGACCTCTAGGACTGTTGTTCTTGTGCACAGAGCAAAACAAATCAAGCATAACCCAGGTGTTAGTTGTGCATTAAAAACACCTGTGGCTTAAGAAGACATGACAATAGAGAAGAGGACAGATGCAGTCACGAATGCAGTGGTTCTCACATGTTTCTAGTTAAATTTATGCTTGCTTTTTTTTTTTTGGTGTACAAAATAGCTATATTCACCAAGTTACCTGCTTTTAAATTGAGAGATTTCTGAGTATAAAAACAATACCACTTGCATGTAACAGTCACTTAGGTATCATAAAATTTGATCTTCATTTGAATGAAAGTCAGTCTTTTCCCGAGTTGTACTTAGACTGCTCCAAGGACCAAGGCAATGCTCCTTCTAATGTCACAATTAAGAGAATGCTTACTGTATTGAGTACATTGCTCCAAGTGATCACATTCAGCTTTTTCAACAACTTATTTCTTTTGATAGCAACGTAGACAGCAAAGGATAACACAGAGAGCACGTGCTGTTAATAATGGAGAATATCAGAGGTAAGATATAAAATGTTATTAATGATAAATGAGAACCATGATGGTTTTCACTCCTGTTCCTCACCCCCACTCACAGGGAAAAAGAAAAAAATCCATCTGTTTTTCAAACCTTATATATACAGCATTTCCAAATTAGAGTTGTTTTCAATCATTGCAGTTTTCCTCACACCAAATTGTTACTGAATGCAAACTGGTTGCCATAAATCTGCAAAATTAGAGGGTAGATAGCATTCATTCTCGTTTCCAATGTAGTTATTAGACTGCATGCACATTGAACCTATTCCCAGCTACTAATATACACAAAATCTATATTAGACTGGTGTTTATATGTAAAATCTCAGCTACTACAAAAATAGTCTTATTATTCAGAACCCTGTTTGAAATGCCCAATAAAAATCCACACTAATCAAATGGGGTATTGAATGGTTTATATAGGCTGCCTGTTTCTTCATTAACATAATTCCTTTAATTCTCTTCACTCCCACCTTCTCTGTTCAGTGTTAGGAGAAAGGAAAAAAAACCCACAAACAACCCAAACAAACAAAAAAAACCCCCAAGAAATTTACTGTAGAACAGTATTTGAGTTTAGAAAAAACCTCTAAAATCAAACACCCCTTTTTGAATGGAGAAGAAAGGGGATAGGAGGGATTTTCAGTTAGGAAAGTACAGTTAGAAAAGGAGCTGTGAAAACTGAGGTTTTATGGAATGAGGGAAACTAGCCAGATACTAGAAATAAAGGAATACAGTAGCAGGATTTGATTTCATTAGTTAAAAAAGGAATTGAAAATTAAGAAGGCATTATCTAAAGTGGCAAAGGATGAGAGGAGAAGAGTTGTTTTGTGACAGAAGTGAAGATAGTTCATTTCTAACTGAAATTACTACTAAAAATTGAGCAAAAGCTCAGACTGGGAGAGGATCTGATGAGTAGGAATGGAAAGGCTGTTTGTGGATCATTTTATAAAGATTTTACTTCAAGGTGCACGTGCTTTCTAGCATAGAACTGGAGGGCATGTGGATTAACGTATCTTTTATGGCATCCTTAGAGGTTTATCAAGCTAAAACCAATACGTGCACTGTTGTTACAGCTCTGTGGCAGAGGAAGATCTTGATTCTTTCTTAAGAAATACAAAATTCCAGTATGAAGCTTTTCGAAGTAGTAGTAAGTCTTCCTTTTCTTATGCATGTCTATTTATATTTTTTATATACACACACACACATATGAAACTTGTATATGTAGATCTGTATAAAAAAAATCTGATAAAACTTCTTTTCCTCTCTAATCCCAGCAAATACAATTTGTGCTACAGCCATTCTAGTTCTCAGAAGCGAGTTCTGTAAGCAAACATGTCCTGTGCATGGATTTTATTTTACTAAGGCTTTCCAACCATCTTTCTTGGAGGCAACATCCATGCAGTGAACTTTCCTTGTAAAACCCCACTGTGTATCAAAGATGCAAATGTGTGGATAGCTTTAACCGTCTTGTAGCAAAACAATTAGAATAGTTACTTACTGATTACCGTACTAATTTTTTTTTTTCCTAATGAAGTGCAAGAGAGGATTTGGCTGCCTATATTTAAAAATTCCAGTAACAATTTAGAGGAAAAAAAGGCTTATAAACTTCTGTCCAGAAGTTTTATGACAGTACCTGATAGTCTCTAAGAAGTTGGAGAACTGGTGGTAATTCTTGGGAAATACTGCCTGTAGTTTGGGTGGGGGGTGGATTTTGGGTTTGTTGAGGTCTTTTTTGCAAGTCTTCATGCAAGTCCAACTTACGGGTTACTAAATTCCTCTATGGTTCTAATCAGACAATATTGCAAAATGTCCTCCTGTAATATCTTAGTGATGTTGACTATTAAAAAGCTACTATATACTCTCTGGTGATGGATGAAGTGGTTTTTTTCTGATGTTCCTGAGGTTTAAGGGCCACAAAACACAATAAAAACTTTATCTGAAAGTTTAGTTTTGCATATTGAACTTTCAAATTCAAGTATGTTTATGAATTAAAATTTTTTTTTTATATAGGACTTTCATCTGATGCTACAGTGATGACACCCAACACAGAAAGCAGTTGTGACTTAATGACCAAAACAAAATCGACGAGTGGAAATGATGACAGCACTTCATTAGATTTAGAGTGGGAAGATGAAGAAGGTATTTATTCTGCCATTCAGTTTCATTCTGAACGTAAAAATGCGAACAGTTTTAACTATGTTGATTGTAAAGATGTCGTTTTGAAAAGGGAATGTGATTTAAAACTTAATTCTGATGGAATTTCTCTCAAGCATGTAATGATTAAGCTGTAAATTATTTTTTCGTAGAAAGTTGCTTATTTTGATAAATGTGCTTATCTCTCTAATAAACAAGTTCATTTATTTGGATCCTTCAGTCAGTTCCACAAAATGCAGGAAACTCACAACAAAACTAATGGTAAAGAAATGCTGCCCTCTTGTGAGCCAGTAGCACAAGGAACAGCTTGTTCTTTGTTTTAAAATGTGTAAGTTGGTCAGGAGTTTGTGACTGAAGGATTTCAGGAAGCATTGTTTCTTTAAACCCTAATTGCTTTTATTGTAACTTCTGCTGGAAACTTAGGTCTGCATTTTAGGTGAGTATCACAGCTATCCTAATTGCTGCTGCTGTTGAGATATTTTCTGTTCTGCAAAAGCTCTTGTCTTTGTTTCAAAGTTAATCCACAATTTTGAGACCTTGACTCTTGAAAAGCTCAGCAAAAATAAGCTAGGATTTCTTTTAGCCAATGCATAGCAGAATTTTTTTTTCTTTAATAGACTGTGGTTTTTTGACAATCTGTGTAATAGTTTAAATGTTTAGTACTGTCAAGAGCACTAAAATGTTTAGTTCAGAAACCTGTTGTGAAAGACAACTTTGCTAGAGGTACCCAGAAATACCCAGCATCTTTTTTTAGCTAGTGTGTGCAAAAGCTATTAGCATTCTAGAGGAACTGAAGCTAGGGCAGTATCATATATGGTGAAGTACACTGAATTTTACATTGAGAGCAATTAGCACCAGTGCAGAAACAGTGTTTTGGGAACTCTATGTCGTACGTCATGCTTAAGAAATGGGAAGATGGCATTCTCTGCTTTATACAGATTGAGTTGTCCCCCAACTCTTATGTGTTAGCTTAATGTTATATCTTTCTAAATAACTATTGAAAACCAGATGAGAGCAAGACTCATTCTATACTAGGCACACCTACATCCAGAATTATCTTGTTCATTTGACTGGTAGAGGGTCGTGTTGCATATGGGCTTGTATTATCCGTGTCCTGGGGGAATTTAATTCTGTGAATAGAATAATCAGTTGGTGATGTTTGCTATTCATTGTTCTCTTATCAGTGTCACACTGACTTAGCCACAAGTATTGGAGCTCGCTGAGCACAGAAGATGCATAGTTTGTGCCCTGCAATGCTACAGTTTTATAGAGAGTGTTATACAGAAAGACAAAGGGTGTAAGGAGAATTTGGAAATGGTAACTGTCCTGGATTAAATACATGGTTGTGATACAATGCTTCTGTTTTCATTCTTCACTGTCATGTACCCATAACAGACAAAGAACTTGTAGTACTAATGTTGTATTGGTGTTTTTGGTGGTGTATCTTGAGAGATGGACAACAGCTTCAGTGAGCCATTGGTACCAAAGGAATCAAGTTGAAAATAGTTATGTTTTGAAAGACCCACAAAAATTAACATAAAGTCCATCATTTGAGTCTGATGAAGAGAAAAAATTACCTCTTAGATACTTGTTTCCTGTGGCCCCATTCCTCCCCCTCAAGAGTTGTGTGTTTCACTTGCAATATGTAACTTTTTCATTACAATTAATTAGTTAGCTAGTTAATTCAAATTTTAAAAGGGAATTTATTTAGGAATGTACAAGGAGTCCAGTGAGTATGGTAAATCCTTCCCTTTCTCCTTTGTACTGGTGGGGAAGGTTTTGATACACCATGAGAAAGTCTTTAATTACTGACAAAATAAATATAATTTCTGATGTCCTTGTGACCAACGTTCTGCCTTATTTTGTGTGAAATTAAATATACCTTTTCAGACAAACTCAAGATCTTTCATAGATAAATGCCCCCAATATCTGTCTGAATTTTAGCTTCTGTTTAAAATGTTTCCCACGATGATGTTTCATCTGTTTGTCAGTAAACTACAGGATTATTACAGGATTCCCCAGACATTTAGGTTTTCTGGAAGTGGCACAGAACCAAAAATCTTCTAATATTTACATGTCCATAATGTAGGGCAGCAGGCTGCAAAATTGCTAGTGAGTTCTTTCACTGTGGTGTCGGTCTGTCTTAGAGCTCTGTAAAATACCATCACTGGCTGTTGAGTTCATTTGGGCCAAAACTGACTGCAAACTATTGCTTTAATGTGAATAACAACACCAGAAAAAAATACAGGGATACTCAGGAGTCAAATTACCAGACTCTGGATCTCTAAAGGATTATTCTTGTTTCTTCTAATGTTCTAACACTAATGTAAAGGTACTTCCCTTGAATTATATCTCTCTCATAAAGATCTCTTAAATCGCAGGAATGAACAGAATGATTCCAATGAGAGAACGCTCCAAAACAGAGGAAGATATACTCCGGGCAGCACTGAAATTTAATAGCAAGAAGACAGGGAGTAATCCAGCTTCAGCCTCTGATGATTCTAATGGATTGGAGTGGGAGAATGACTTTGTTAGCGCTGAAATGGATGATAATGGCAATTCAGAATATGCCGGGTTTGTAAATCCTGTATTAGAATTGTCTGCATCAGATGTAAGGATATCTGATCCTGATCATCAAGACAGATAGTGAAACTGCGTGGCCCTTGTTTGTGACCAAATGTTGAAGAGTGAAATAGAATGTACAAAACCAATTTGCTCTTTTAAAAGGTGGTTCCCTTGTTTTTCCTATAGATTGATCGGCAAGGAATGGGAATAACTGGCTATCTGAATTAATTCAGAATTAAGTGCAATTTTATCATCTACCTTCTAAACTTTTATGAAAACTGGGATGATTCTATTGTGTATATTTCTGGATATCTGAATTTAATATAAAATTATCTGCACTAATTTAAGCTTCCAAGCTTGACATATCTATATTTTAACTGGCCTTTTTTCTGGATGATGTTTCTACTGATTTGTTTTTAAAATTCATCACTGGCCTAACATTTATCTTAGAAACAGTCTTATATAATTTATCTAATACTTGAATATAGAAAAAATAATTTTAAAAAATTGTCCTTATTTCCAGTATGTGCTTTTTGACTTGTTCTTTAGCTATTTAGAGGGTGTAGTTAGCCATCTGCAAAACAAATTTCACACATGGTAAATTGTAATTTTTCACTGTTTAGCTTATAGTCTTCCTAGCCTTATGTTGTCCTCTTTCCATTTATTTTATTTTTTTTAATTACTTCATGCCAAGCACAGTTAACCTCAATAAACATAGTAAAATCATCAGGTTAGGTAAGATATTGTCTTGTATAATATGCCAGTTTTAGTGCGTGTGTGCTAGATAGAAAAACAACTATAAAAATTCTTTGTGTGAAACTGGAAATTTTAATCAGTATCTAGTGGAGAATTGGGAGGAGAGGACCAAATTCTTGATTTTTTTTCCCACCCCCCTGAACAGACCAACCTCTGTTACTACAAGGTCCTTAGAATTCTTTCTATGTGAAAAATTTATAATTCAGCTCAAGTGGAACAATAACTGAAGAGGAACGTTCTCTGAGCAAACTTGGGGAGGGATGGTTGCTCTGCTGCTGGGGTGGGAAGAACAAGAACCTGAAGACTGAATTCCTGTATCTGCATTCAAAAAAAAAAAAAATCAAGTTACAAATCAGTGTGTTTAAGTGCTCTAGTTTTCCTGTGCCTCTAAACTGGATGGTTAATAGTGCTGATAGAGACTGAAACTTTAGGAGGTGTTCAGTTAAAATCTGGTGTAGTGTATTGTGTGGTCTCCCCCTAATATTTAATGTCAGTTATGCTTTTTAAAAAAAGGAAAAGCTCACTGAAGAGAATATGCAAAACAACTGCAGGTCTCAAGCTTTCCCCAAAGTGTCAGTAAATCCATTCTACTCTACTGTTATTTTGTCTAGCTGTCTGTTTTTTCCCTGGAAGAAAGGGGGATGGGGTGCAACTTCACCATTGTGGAATAAAAGCAACACACTGTGCTAAGCAGTAAATCTGTATCACCAGAAGAACTGAATTTGTGGGTAAAAATTGTGTAAATGTTTTAGATCATGTTAGATCATTTGAGCCTATATATAGTATTAGGGCCCCTATCATTTTCATGAAAACTTGAACAAAAATACTGCACACTTGGATTAAGTATGTACATATGTCAACACTAATGAACAGATAAATCTTGTTGATAACATTCCATTTCTTAATTTAAATTGTAGCTATGTCATTGAAAATATTTTAATATAATTATCTACATTTGCAATGCCTGTAATGAGCTTTAAAAATTTGTGCACATCAAATGTATATTTTTGGTTTGGCATAAGCTACTACTGTGTAACTTCTCCTGACATTTATTTGTATAATATATTCCTCTGGAAAGGAAGGCAACTTTCTCAACATGTAAATAACACGTTTTTTACCTGCCAAAATGTAACTTGCCCTGCAGAGGTCACTGCTTTTCCTGACCCGTGAACATGAGGTTTAATTTGTCCTGACCATGCTTTGACGAAGTAAAAAAGCCTTTAGCAAAAAGGAAGCTGACTCCAGCTGAAGGTTTTTACTGAGGTGTGCATGTTCTGTAGCCATGGTTAACAGCATTCTGCCTTTCAGAGCTCAGTGAACTACACTGAGTGATTTAAGAAGTTACAGTCAATATTTGTGGAAATTTAAGAAATCAAAATATATAAACAGCTTATGTAAAACAATTCAACAGTACTGTAAAATGCATATCTGTACAAATTTAAAACTCATTAAACTTTTCAGTCAGTCTTATGTTTGGCAATGTTTTATCTGTTGCTGGTTTTGTGGCTGCTATTTCATACATAGTGAAAGAGGGCGTGAAGATGAATTGTTAAAACATTACCCAAAATTACCTGGGCATCAGGAAGGATTCTGCTTCGCTTTGAATGTCACCCATGTATCAGCTAACTAAGGAAGGTTTTAATAATTAGCTGTGGCATCCCTTCTTGAGTCCTGTGGATTTGGAAAGGAAGCTCTAACAAGCTGCAATAATAGAGGACACAAGGAACTGTGAGCATGGAGCCCTTCTTCTATCAGAAGGAGCAGCTGTACCCTCATACTTCAAAGGAAATATAAACTTCCTTGTGTAATGCAAACAGCTTCCCTGTCTTCATGTCTGTCTGTGCTTGTGTACCATTTTAATTGACTCAGCTGATTGTGCCTGTGTATATATGTGTTTTAAATAGGAAACTCTTCTTTTTACTTATAGGGCAGTGTTTTACTAAGTTGTTCATCTACCACTTAAGACGTGTGTTTCTGTGTTAAAGTTGAGCCATTGTTGAATGTAAAATAATTTGACCTGACCATTTGGTCAGGCTGTTCAGAGTTACATGATTAAGCATAAAATTGGTGTTTCAGCATTGTCTTTTAGTATTCCATAACTGTGAATAGTAGGATAGCTGACCCAAGCCAAAACTTGCAAGAAATGTTAGTGGCCTTTGTGTGTGTGGTATTTCTCCCAATTAAGTTAGCACTATATGACTAATGGCAAACGGAGAGGGGGGAGGCAGTACTGTTTCTGTTGTGGTTGTTTGCCTTAACAAGTATTTTCTGGTATGCCTGAAACAACTCTTCTAGAACATGATTAGTACTTGCAATTTTAAAAGCTGCAAAGAGGTGTTAGAACCCTTGAGAGCAATTTAGGTTTGCCCCACATGTCAAAATGGGTCCTCGATGAACTGCTTCAAAACTCAACATCACCACCACCATCCTCCTCCAGTGCCAGCTTCTTGTTTCTCTGGAACTCACGCCAGGCTCGTGTCTCAACTTTGGCCTCTCCGGTTGTGTGCTCGTGGCCGTCAGCTGCTCTTGGTGACACAGCAGCCAGCTGAGGCGTGCTCGGGCGGCAGCAGAAAGCTGGCTGTGAGCAACTGGGGTGCCTCGGTGTCATGCTGTGCCCACACCTGCGCTCGGTCATGTATTTACTCTTTACCTGTTTGCATGCAGAAGTCACTGGATTGTCTCCTTACACAGCACTGCCTCAACATATTGCTGTGCTCTTTAGTGATAACTTCAACTAGGACATCCAGAAAGTGAGCTTTTAAAAATATGTATTTTTCTAGTCATTTGATACTGTTCTCCTTCAGTCAGACTAACTTCTGCTGGTCAAATCAACACAGCAATAGAATCTTCCTAGGAGAAGATTCATTTTTCAGTGTGTGTTTTGGGGTTGATTCTTAGCCCAAATAAATATAGTTGTAGAAATACTTAGGGTTGGGAAACCATTAAATTGATGTTTTGTTTTTTTTTTTTTCCACTCCCAAGGTTTTCACCTGGTTCCTGGAGATTGAGCCTAAGGAATGCTCCGCTCTAGACCTGTGGCTATCATCTGCAGAGCCTCTCTGTACAGAGTGAATACAAAACCCGCTCAGACACAGCACTGTGAGCTCTGCAGACCTGGCAGAAGATTTTTCTCAGGCAAGTACTGTTTATAGACACTTCTGTTTATAAATTGCACTTGAAAATTTGACATTAGGGTTGTCACTTTAAATTATAGTACAGAAAATGTAAGCCACTAATATGATCAGTGTCATAAGTTAATGTCCTATGTGACAAGGCCAGTGAACAGAAACTGGATAACAATACTGCTCAGTGGTAGTATTAGCAACCTGGTTTTTAAGCCCAAAGCAGTACAAAACAGGAACTTTCATGTCATCCATAATAATTTAAGAGCACTAATAGGAAGAGAGCTGTTTACTGGGAATGCAAAGCTAATACTCCCTCCTCCCTCACACGAGCCAAATCAGTGAACATAAGAAGTCCCGTGCATTTTATATGAGGTTGATTACAGGTAAAGCTTTTATATGCAAGAGCTTCTTTCAGATTATATTTGCATCTTGCTTTTTTTCTAGATACCTTGCATTTGGACGTATTGGTCACTCTGTCTAATTAAAGAGTAGGAAGACTCAGGTCAAAAGCCTATAAAAGCCAAGCAGACAACAACTACTGGAAATGTGCAACCAGCAGCACCATGTCTGGTGACACGGTGATTCCTGCTCAGGTTTGTTTCGTTAAGCTGAGGGGCTGGGTGTGTGATAGAGGCGTTTGTGCTGAGATAGCAGCTGAACTGCACACCTAGGCCAAAGACTGTACAAGTACCAGAGCCTTGTTCAAAGAGTAGAAAACATGGGAACAAGGTATTTTTGGCAAGGGTGAGACTAATAGACAACTGAAATCCCACATAAGCCTGGTTTGAGTTTCATTGCCTCTCCCATGACCTTCTCTCACTTGTGCTTGTTTGCCTTAATCTCAGGTTACGTTGTGTAACATCCTCCTCAGTTGTACTTCTGGTTTTCTTGTAATGATTACTGCTGAAATGCAGCCTAATGTTTAGGGGTGGTAAGATGGGTAACTTATATATGCTCTGTTCTGATTCTTTTCCAGTGTGTCTTTCAAACAAACTAAAATACTTGACAAAAAGCAAGTGCCCAGGAAAAGCTGAGCCCCTAGCAAAGAAAAACTTATCTGAAACAACCTGAGAAATACTTAAATGAAAACAAAATTGTAAGAGTGCTTGGCAGGGATGGGGAGGGGGAAGAGAGAAAACTTGCTGAAACGCTTTTAGTCAACTCTTATCTTGGAGCAATGCCACTTCTAGAAAGGCCAGAATGCTGCCTGTGAAAATTTCTTATCTGGATTGTCCTAGAAATAATTTTATTCAGGTAAGTGCTTTTAGATTGTAGTTGTAAAAGAGTAAATCCTTACACATCAACCAAATGCTTTTATTACAAAATTTGTCTGGTTTTTTACATAACATGATCACTGACACTGCATGTTTATT